CTTTGACATCCTCCCACAACTCATCTGGTCTTCGCTCATTAGTGTTCAAGGCCTCAAACCTGTTCCTGAGATGATTCTTAAATTCAGGTGGTATGAAATTGAAGTTTTATTTTGGCTCCTGTGGATTTGGTTTAAGTTTCCTCAGCTTCAGCTTGAATTTGCATATGAGTAATTGGTGGTCACTGTACTAAAAAGAATTGGTCAGCATTTAACCACTTCAGAATGCCACATCTATTCATGAACTGGTAGTATGGTAATAAAGAAGTTCAAACTGCACTGAGGACAATGGCAAACAACAAGGCTCCACAAACTAAAATAATACCAACTGAAGTGTTTCAACAAACAGATGCAGCACTGATGTGTTTACTCATGTGGGCCAAGAAACTTGGAAGATAGCTATTTGGCCAACTAACTGGAAAAAAATCCATATTTGTGCTCATTCCCAAGAAAATTGACCCAAGCAGAATGTAGAAATGATCTAATAATATAAAATAGCACACAAAAGGAAAAATTTGCTAACAATCATTAAAGATGATTACAGCAGTAGTTGGACAAATGACTTCCAGAAATTCAAGTCAGATTCAGAAGAAGATACAGAATGAAGGATATAATTGCTAATGTCAATGGCTGTTGGCTCAAAGTTGCGAATACTGGAAAGACATTTACCTGTATTTAACTGATTATGCCAAAGTAATCAACACTGCATATCATAAAAAAAAGTTATGAAGACATTGTAAAGAATGGTAACCCTAGAACACTTACTTATTATGCCCATTTGAAACTTGAAAATAGGCAAACAGGCCTCAAGTCATTTGGACAAAACAAGTGGATGCAATATGGTTTAAAGCAGGACATGACTATGTCAAGGTTGTTCTCATTGTATTCTTTTCAGTCTGTATACTGCGCAAATAATCTGGCTAATATAAATAATAGTATGGAATACTGAATAATAGTATGGAATAGTATGGGAAACTAATAGTATGGAAACCTTGCAATATGGAGATGACAAATGTTGTTCGCTAAAAATGAAAATTACATCGTTTCATAATGATGATCAAAAGCCTTCGGTATTGGTTGCATGTCAACGGAAACGATACTCTTCACTACTGAACCAATAAGCAGTATCAGGATAAAAAGAGAAAAGATTAAAGTTGTCAAGGATTTCATTCTACTTGGAACCTACAATTTACACCTATGGAAGCAGCAGTCAAGAATTCAAATGACCAGTTGGAATGTGTAAATCTGCTGCAAAATACCTCTCTACAATTGTGTCTAAAAGCAAGTGTTGCTTTGAGGACAAACATACACTGTAACAAGCTACATTATTTTCAATCACCTCAGACATTTCAAAGGTGATAATGAATAAGGTATACCAGGGAAGAATTGATCATTTTGAATTATGGTATTGATGAAAGAAAATGGAATATACCATGGACTGAAGGACAAAAAAGGCTGTCCTAAAGACAGTACTACTGGGAACAAAGATGGTGAGATTTTTGCCTTATGTACTTTGGGCGTGTTATCAGGAGGAACCTGTATCTGGAGAAGGACGTCATGCTCACTAAAGAGAAGGACTGCAAAACAGGGCCTGAAACAATGGGTTCAATTAGAGCACCACTGGGAAGATGGTGCAGGAGTGCACAGCATTTGTTCTGTTATACTCTTCATTTTGTCCGGTTCTGTCACTATACTTGGAACTGATGCAAACACACCTAACGACACACTCTGTAATAAAAACTAGACCCACCCTTAGTCACACTGCTTTAGAGGTCTTTATGGAAACATTAAAAAAGAGCTCTGGTTGTATAACAGAGCATTATATGATGCACTGCTAGTCAAAAATAGGTCAGTAGTTCAAAACTACCAGCTATTTGCAGGAGAAAGATGGGCAATCTCTTCCTACAAAAACTGGCAGCCATGAAAACCCAGTGGACAGAGGGTCCTTATGGATAGAATCATTCCAACTTGAAAGCAGTAGGTAAACATAAAGCAGATGAAAAGCATTAGTAATAAAGAAGGAAAAAGATCTGATAACATTGAAAAATGACAAACGAATCAGAAGAGATGGCCATAAATATAGTAAAGTCTATTTCTGTGGTTCATTTAAACAGTAAAAAATCAGTACAGGAAGTTTACATCCACATTATCAGCTGATGAATTTAGACACACTGCCACTAACAGTGCAATTTTAAAGGAAAGAAGTCAATTTTCAGGATAAAGTTTTCATTTTATCATATTGTTCTTATGTGACTCACAGCATCCTGAACAGCAGCTCTGAAGCATCCCCAGTCCTGAGTTAGTCTCACTGATTCCAACACAGCTACTCCCATTGCCCCAATTATTGAGCACAAATATCTAATAGATATAAAAATAATGTCTATAAGGAAAAAAAAACAAAACTGCAACAGACAGAGCAACTTGGGGCATCCATTCCAAACAGGGCCATCTAGTCTAGAAGTTGACTATACAATGCTGTCATTTCAGAAAATACTGATTCTGAATGTGTGTGATACATATGTATTGGACTTCCCTTTAGTGATAACAATAATTGTCATGTTGTTGTTGTTGTTATGTGCCATCAAGCTGACTATAACTCATAGTAATCCTATGAACAGAAGATTTAAACTTTGCTGTATTCTGAGCCAATCTCACCATCTCTGACACACCTGACCTCACTGCCAGTCACTGTGTCAGTCCATCTCATCCAGGGTCTTCCTCTCCTGTACTGATCTTCTACCCTTCAAGTATTCTATCCTTCTTCAAGGATTCATCCCTCCTAGCAACATGCCCAAGTATGTGAGTCAGAGCTTCAAAGTCCTTAACTCCAAGGAGCAACCTGCTTTTACCCTCTCTAGCACAGACCTACCTGTTTGTTCTCTTGGTAGTCTACAGTGTGTTCAATACTCTTCTCCAACACCATAACTCAAAGGCACGGATTCTCCTTCTGTCATGTTTATTTATTCATTGTCTAGCTCTCAGAAGCACAGCAAGCAACACAGAAGACCATAGCGTGGGAAAGGTGCACCTTAGTTTCTAGAGTTACATCATTTTTCTTTAGCACTTTGGAGAGGTTGCAGACAGCAGGCTTTCCTAAAGCAACTTGTCTTCTGATTTCCTGACTGTTGGTGCCAAGAGTATTATTTGTAGATTTGTGCAAGATGAGATTATTAACAACCCCCATCTTTTAGCCATCAATCATGATGAATGATAGTAAATCAATTGGCCCCATGGTGATCCATATTGTTTTTTAATTACTCTTTGGGTTGTCAAAAGCACAGTTTTCTAAATTTACAACTGACTAAATAATGGTATTCTGTCAAATCCATTGCTATTGTGCCTAAGATATAAATCACCTAGGAGTGCTTGGAGTGACCAGCAGACTCCAATTTCACACAGCTTTGTCTGCCTACACCAAGACTCCGTTCAAAAGTTATAATTCTCTCTTTGTACCAGAAAGAGCATTCATGATCTCAGGTGGTGTAGTCTGTAGGAAGCTGCATTGCTAACCAAAAGGCTGAACCTCTCTGGTGGTTTGAATCCACCAGCACCTGCACAGGAGGAAGACAGGCAATCTCCTATGCCATTTACATCCTTGAAAACTCAACCTGGAAACAGCTATACGTCGATTTTGACTCAACAGCAATTAGTTTGAAGTTTGTTGTTGCTTTTTAGGGAGGCCTAGAGGCATAATGCTTAACACACTCAGTTGTTAACTAAATGTTCAGTGGTTTGAAGACATCAGCCACTCTGTGGGTGGAAAAAAAAAATGTGACAGCTGCTTAAGCAATGATTTTCACTCCACAGAGTCAATTCCAACTCACAGTAACTCATAACTTGTTTCCTAAGCTGTAGGACTTTATGGGAGGAGACTGTTCATCCTTCCCTACAGAGCGGCTGGGGAGCTCAAACCACTAACTTTGTAGTTAGTAGCTCTGTCTTGCAAATATTACAGCTTCAGAAACAGTGTGACAGTTCTGTCCTGTTCTACAAGGTCAGTTCTATAAGTCAGAATTGATTAAAAGGCATGCTCGCTTTAGCAGAACATATACTAAAATTGGAATGATACAGAGAAGATTAGCATGGCCCCTGGGCAAGGATGACATGTAAATTTGTGAAGCATCCCATATTTTTGTAACCAAGATGCATTAATAATAACTCATAATTAGAATGCAAATATTGGACTCAAAGAAGGATTGATAGGATATATAACACTGGTGATTTGAATGAGGCTGGAAATAACATGATATAATTTTATATTACTAATAGTTTATTAATTATAAAAATCTTTTCTAAAATATCACCTATAATTGATGAAGATATTCATGAATGTAGCCTGATGAAAACACAGTAGTCAAATGAACTATATCTGTGGAAAGCAATGATAAGCACATTACCAGTTAGAACAAGGCTGAGGAAGTGATTGTGGAACTGATAAATTGCTTATAAGAAAGTTCAAATAGAAACTCAAGAAAATGAAAACAAATCTCTCCAGGAGCCCCCACAAGAAAATAACTGATAACCCAATTGCAAGATGCACAAAATAAGTAGAAAGACTTTTCACAGAGGAAGACTTTCAGATGGCCAACAGACACATGAAAAAATGCTCAAATCACTGGTAAAAAGAGAGATGCAAATAAAAACTACAATGAGATACCATCTCACTCCAGTAGCAAGTGGCAAAGTTTAACAGGGCAACAAGCAATAAATGTTGAAGAGGATGTGGTGAGATAGCAACTCTTATACATTGTTGGTGGGATTGTATAGTGGTACAATCACTATGGAAGACATTTTGGTGCTTCCTCAAAAAGCTGAACATAGAAATTCTATATGACCCACCTATTCCATTGCTTGGAAAATGAGAACAGAGGCTCAAATGGAGACTTGTGCACCAATGTTCATAGCAGTATTATTCATCATTGCAAAAATATGGAAACAGCCCAGATGTCCAACCACAAATGAAAGGATTGAGAAGTTGTGGTACATTAATACAATGGAATACTATGTGGTACACAGGAGCAATGATTTTGTAAATTACTACCTAACTTAGGAGGGACTGGAGAACATTATGGTGAGTGAACTAACTCAGTCCCACAAGGCCAAATACTGTATAAAATCATTATTTTAGAATGAGTATGAGGCTCCAAGGTTGGAGGCAGAAGGATGAGGCTGGGCAGGGGGAGGGGTGGGGTGCTAATCATAGAGTTGTACAAATCAGTGCGGGGGCGGGAATTAAAGAAAATGGGAAGGATCTTGTGTGAAAAACAATATATTCCAACTTTGTGAATAAATTAGTATAAAATAAATCAGAGGGGGGAAAAAAGCACAACAGTATGAGTGTAATGGAACAATTTATAAAATAAAAGGAATGTAAAAAAATCAAAGTGGATTGATTCAAGAACAAGAGATATTATTGCTGATGTCAGATGGATCCAGACTTAAAGTAGAGAACACTAGAAAGATGTTTACTAGTTCTTTGTTGATTATTGAAAAACACTTGTGGATAAAAATAAATCGTGGATGACACTGAGGGATTGGAATTGTGGAATACTTAATTGACTATACTGGTACATAGGCCAAGCAGCAGTAGTTACAACAGAATAAGGAAGAAGAATGTGGCATCAAGATTGGAGAAAGACTCCTTAACAACCTGTGATATGCAATGACACAACCTTGCATGCAGAAAGTCAAGAACACTTGAAGTACTTATTAGATGATCACTTGAAATACTAACAAAGGTCAAAGACTATAGCTTTCAATATGGATAACACCTCAACACCAAAAAGACAAAAATTCTCATAACTTGACCAATAAGCAGCATCATGATAATTTTAGTAAAAAAATTGAAGTTGCCAAAGTTTCATTTTACTTGGATCCATAATCAACAGCCATAGACATAGCAGTCAAGAAATAAAAAGACATATTGCATTGGAGTTTTGGTGATGTTGTGGTACAGAACTGTATTGCCAACCCAAAGGTTAGGGATTCAAATCCAGCTGCTGTTGTGCAGGAGAAAGATGGGCAGTCTCCTCATGTGCGATCTTCTGTCTTTGCAAACTGGCTGGAAGATTAGCTTTGAATTGTTTATGACTTGTTCTAATTGTCGCTGAGGAAGGAAAACACAGACAGGAGAAATGTGCTCAGAAGTAGATGGCCACTGCTCTGTTAGGTAAATAGCAAAATGGAGCTGTTCTGTCCTCCTACTTATTACAGAAGCAGGCATAGTATACATGAAAGAAGTCATGTACACCTTGCTCAGGGTACATAAAAACAGAAAATACTTTTGCTGACCCGAGTTATCTTTGACTCCCCAAGGCTCTGTATTCTTTCTCTATATCTTATTTCAAGAAAGCAATGTGTAAGTAAGTCTGATCAAAGACTATTGATTCAAAGTGGTCCAGGGGATGTGCCGAGGCTGTTTGCAGCCCCAGAATTCAAGGAAGGCTCTTGTCTACAAGAACTCCTCTGGCATCCTTGGAAATATCCAAAAGCCTTCAGTACTAATCTCGGAGTGCTTAACGCTTTAGGGGTGTATCACTTACTTGACTGTAAACACTTTCATGGGCAAATATGCTGTGGAGGACCTCTTTAAAGTGCAATGGAGCAAGGATATGACTTTGAAGACCAAGTTGTTCCTGACACAACCATTGTATTTTCAATTACTTCATATGTAGGTTTGACAATGAATAAGGAAGAGATTAAAAGAATTGATACCTTTGAATTATGTTTACTAAAGAATATTGGATATACCATGGACTGTCAAAAGAACAAACATCTCTATTTTGGAAGAAGTACAACTAGAGAAGCAAGGATGATGAGTCTTTCTCTCATTTACTTTTCGGCCAATCCCTAGAAAAAAATACTATGTTTGGATGGCAAGGGCTGGTGAAGAAGAGGAAGATCCTCAAGTAGCTTGATTCACACAGTGACTGCAACAGTACAACAGATATTATGAGGATAACAGAATTGGGCAAGATTGCAATCTGTTGTATAGCAGGATGCTGTGAGTCAGAGCCAATTTGATTGCACCTAACAAGAACATATTTGTTTTTATGCATGTCATACAGAACTTAACAAATAAACCTGTTGTTGCCATTGGAGGGTGAAAAGAGAAAAAAATTGATTAAAAGGAAAAGAGCCTAGAGGTTCTTCCCCTTTTCCTAAAGAAAAATTACTTTATTCCTGACCTTTCCTTTAGCAGGCCAGAATTTTGCTAGTTTAATTAGCTTTGACTTTCAAGAAAATAAGTAGAACACTTTTTTAAACAATCTCATATAAACTCGTCAAAGTGAGTAATAGCCAACTGATATTTTTCACAACATAAACAAAACATTTATGAACTCTAAATGATTCAAGGCAACATATCACATAAAACATACCCATCACATGTCAATTACAACAATGATTCCTTTTTCATAATAAGGAATATTCACCTCTATTCAAGTTTCATTCTTAACATTATTTATTTAATTGTAAGTATATAAAACTTTGAAGGAGAAATGATCTTCATTATTTACTTAATAATTAAGTAAGACATGCTGATAACTTACTGCATCATATTTTCTGGCACTCCGTAGTGCTTTATAAGGACTGTCTGCAAAACCTTGCTGTAAGAGGGCTTTTCTATCCAGAGTTGTAAGATCATCTTCAATGCCTTCTTCATTTTTTATACACTAAGTATAAAAGCAACAAATTAGTTTTAACAAAAAAATAAACAATGAATATATCTTTCTTTGGTTGTGTTTCAGAAATATCTTTTCATAGGGGTTATAAATACAAATTATGAGAGGTCTAATTGTATATTAATCCAGCTAGTCTAATTACGGTTTAAATAGCCTGTTTGAGTCTCAGTTTAATCATATATTAAATGAGAATAATAATAGCTATTCAACTATTCAAGATCAAAGGGTAGGATTTTTCTAGAGATAAAGCTCAAAAAGGCAGGAAAGAACAAATGGAAATGAGAAATAGAGAGGAAGTGGGAAGAGTACTTTGTGGGGTAGAGATTGTCAACTATATCACAAGACATAATACAAATTGCAGAAAGAAAAAACAATTTGCTCTATAATCTTTAACTCAAATCCCAAAAAAATTACTGTTTTTCAATAAAAAATCACCCATTTACTTCACACACACATACACAACACAACACAACACACACAATTGATGTAATGCTTTCCCAACATAAAAGCACATGACATTCAGGATGCATTCAATAAACACCATTATAAACACTTATAAACTCTTGTAAACACGCTTACAAATATCATTGTACATGTTTAGTCGATAAGATTAACAAATGTGTCCACGAATACTCTCATAGAACTTAAAACTCTCATTAAATTAAAATTAAAGCTCTAAAAGAGAATGTACACATTTTGAAAGACAAAAACAAAATTTCTCCCTGAATATAAGACAAGTTTACGTACACACACACACACATATATAAAAATATATATAGATATAGAAATATATATATATATATACACTCCTAATAAGATCACTTGTTTAATCAGCCTCATGGAGTTTTGCCCCAGGGCTTGTTTTCACTTCCAATCTTCCTTAAAAATCAGATCTACCCTTATACTCTGCTCAGTCTTCATGATAGCGAAACAGAATTTTATTATTATTTATGGTATGGAAATACAAAGGAAGAGGAACAGTTGTAAGCAGACAGTGGTGACTGGGACATGGAATATGAAAACCATGAATGTAGGAAAATTAGATATTGATAAGGAAGAAATGGAACGCATAAATATTGACATACTAGGCATTGGTGAGATGAGATGGATTGGCATGGGGTATTTTGAGTCGGATGATCCTGTGATATATTACTCTGGAGATGAAAAGCTGGGGGAAAATGGAGTTGCTTTCATAGTTAAGAAAGTTATTGCTACATCCATCTTGAAGTACAGTATTGTGAGTGACAGGATAATATCCATATGCATACAAGGAAATCCAGTGAATACCGCTATCATTCTGATATGTGCACCAACAACCAGAGCCAAAGAAGAGGATTTAGAATATTTCTAGCAACTTTTACAGTCGGAGATCGATCGTACATGCAATCAAGATGCATTGATAATAATG